TCTACATCTGTAGAACGTGAAGAACCAGTGGCATCTACACCTACAGAACGTGAAGAACCAGTGGCATCTACATCTGTAGAACGTGAAGAACCAGTGGCATCTACATCTACAGAACGTGAAGAACCAGTGGCATCTACATCTGCAGAACGTGAAGAACCAGTGGCATCTACATCTACAGAAGGTGAAGAACCAGTGGCATCTACATCTACAGAACGTGACGAACCAGTGGCATCTACATCTGCAGAACGTGAAGAACCAGTGGCATCTACATGTGTAGAATGTGAAGAACCAGTGGCATCTACATCTGTAGAACTTGAAGAACCAGTGGCATCTACATCTGCAGAACGTGGAGAACCAGTGGCATCTACATCTGCAGAACGTGAAGAACCAGTGGCATCTACATCTGCAGAACGTGAAGAACCAATGGCATCTACATCTGTAGAACGTGAAGAACCAGTGGCATCTACATCTGCAGAACGTGAAGAACCAGTGGCCTCTACATCTGTAGAACGTGAAGAACCAGTGGCATCTACATCTGCAGAACGTGAAGAACCAGTGGCATCTACATGTGTAGAACGTGAAGAACCAGTGGCATCTACATCTGTAAAACGTGACGAACCAGTGGCATCTACATCTGCAAAACGTGAAGAACCAGTGGCATCTACATCTACAGAACGTGAAGAACCAGTGGCATCTACATCTGTAGAACGTGACGAACCAGTGGCATCTACATCTACAGAACGTGAAGAACCAGTGGCATCTATATCTGTAGAACGTGAAGAACCAGTGGCATCTGTGTCTACAGAACGTGAAGAACCAGTGGCATCTACATCTGCAGAACGTGAAGAACCAGTGGCATCTACATCTGCAGAACGTGAAGAACCAGTGGCATCTACATCTGCAGAACGTGAAGAATTAGTGGCATCTATATCTGCAGAACGTGAAGAACCAGTGGGATCTACATCTACAGAAGGTGAAGAACCAGTGGCATCTACATGTGTAGAACGTGAAGAACCAGTGGCATCTACATCTGCAGAACGTGAAGAACCAGTGGCATCTACATCTGGAGAACGTGAAGAACCAGTGGCATCTACATCTACAGAACGTGAAGAACCAGTGGCATCTACATGTGTAGAACGTGAAGAACCAGTGGCATCTACATGTGCAGAACGTGAAGAACCAGTGGCATCTACATCTGCAGAACGTGAAGAACCAGTGGCATCTACATCTGCAGAACATGAAGAACCAGTGGCATCTACATCTACAGAACGTAAAGAACCAGTGGCATTTACATGTGTAGAACGTGAAGAACCAGTGGCATCTACATCTGTAGAACGTGAAGAACCAGTGGCATCTGAATCTACAGAACATGAAGAACCAGTGGCATCTACATCTGCAGAACGTGAAGAACCAGTGGCATCTCCATCTGCAGAACGTGAAGAACCAGTGGCATCTACATCTGTAGAACGTGAAGAACCAGTGGCATCTACATCTGTAGAGCGTGAAGAACCAGTGGCATCTACATCTACAGAACGTGAAGAACCAGTGGCATCTACATGTGTAGAACGTGAAGAACCAGTGGCATCTACATCTGCAGAACATGAAGAACCAGTGGCATCTGAATCTACAGAACGTGAAGAACCAGTGGCATCTACATCTGGAGAACGTGAAGAACCAGTGGCATCTACATCTACAGAACGTGAAGAACCAGTGGCATCTACATGTGTAGAACGTGAAGAACCAGTGGCATCTACATGTGCAGAACGTGAAGAACCAGTGGCATCTACATCTGCAGAACGTGAAGAACCAGTGGCATCTACATCTGCAGAACATGAAGAACCAGTGGCATCTACATCTACAGAACGTAAAGAACCAGTGGCATCTACATCTGTAGAACGTGAAGAACCAGTGGCATCTGAATCTACAGAACATGAAGAACCAGTGGCATCTACATCTGCAGAACGTGAAGAACCAGTGGCATCTCCATCTGCAGAACGTGAAGAACCAGTGGCATCTACATCTGTAGAACGTGAAGAACCAGTGGCATCTACATCTGTAGAGCGTGAAGAACCAGTGGCATCTACATCTACAGAACGTGAAGAACCAGTGGCATCTACATGTGTAGAACGTGAAGAACCAGTGGCATCTACATCTGCAGAACATGAAGAACCAGTGGCATCTGAATCTACAGAACGTGAAGAACCAGTGGCATCTACATCTGTAGAACGTGAAGAACCAGTGGCATCTACATCTACAGAACGTGAAGAACCAGTGGCATCTACATCTACAGAACGTGAAGAACCAGTGGCATCTACATCTACAGAACGTGAAGAACCAGTGGCATCTACATCTGCAGAACGTGAAGAACCAGTGGCATCTACATCTGTAAAACGTGACGAACCAGTGGCATCTACATCTGCAGAACGTGAAGAACCAGTGGCATCTACATCTACAGAACGTGAAGAACCAGTGGCATCTACATCTACAGAACGTGACGAACCAGTGGCATCTACATCTGCAGAACGTGAAGAACCAGTGGCATCTACATGTGTAGAATGTGAAGAACCAGTGGCATCTACATCTGTAGAACTTGAAGAACCAGTGGCATCTACATCTGCAGAACGTGGAGAACCAGTGGCATCTACATCTGCAGAACGTGAAGAACCAGTGGCATCTACATCTGCAGAACGTGAAGAACCAATGGCATCTACATCTGTAGAACGTGAAGAACCAGTGGCATCTACATCTGCAGAACGTGAAGAACCAGTGGCCTCTACATCTGTAGAACGTGAAGAACCAGTGGCATCTACATCTGCAGAACGTGAAGAACCAGTGGCATCTACATCTGCAGAACGTGAAGAACCAGTGGCATCTACATCTGTAAAACGTGACGAACCAGTGGCATCTACATCTGCAAAACGTGAAGAACCAGTGGCATCTACATCTACAGAACGTGAAGAACCAGTGGCATCTACATCTGGAGAACGTGAAGAATCAGTGGCATCTACATCTACAGAACGTGAAGAACCAGTGGCATCTATATCTGTAGAACGTGAAGAACCAGTGGCATCTACATCTACAGAACGTGAAGAACCAGTGGCATCTACATGTGTAGAACGTGAAGAACCAGTGGCATCTACATCTGCAGAACGTGAAGAACCAGTGGCATCTACATCTGCAGAACGTGAAGAATTAGTGGCATCTATATCTGCAGAACGTGAAGAACCAGTGGGATCTACATCTACAGAAGGTGAAGAACCAGTGGCATCTACATGTGTAGAACGTGAAGAACCAGTGGCATCTACATCTGCAGAACGTGAAGAACCAGTGGCATCTACATCTGGAGAACGTGAAGAACCAGTGGCATCTACATCTACAGAACGTGAAGAACCAGTGGCATCTACATGTGTAGAACGTGAAGAACCAGTGGCATCTACATGTGCAGAACGTGAAGAACCAGTGGCATCTACATCTGCAGAACGTGAAGAACCAGTGGCATCTACATCTGCAGAACATGAAGAACCAGTGGCATCTACATCTACAGAACGTAAAGAACCAGTGGCATTTACATGTGTAGAACGTGAAGAACCAGTGGCATCTACATCTGTAGAACGTGAAGAACCAGTGGCATCTGAATCTACAGAACATGAAGAACCAGTGGCATCTACATCTGCAGAACGTGAAGAACCAGTGGCATCTCCATCTGCAGAACGTGAAGAACCAGTGGCATCTACATCTGTAGAACGTGAAGAACCAGTGGCATCTACATCTGTAGAGCGTGAAGAACCAGTGGCATCTACATCTACAGAACGTGAAGAACCAGTGGCATCTACATGTGTAGAACGTGAAGAACCAGTGGCATCTACATCTGCAGAACATGAAGAACCAGTGGCATCTGAATCTACAGAACGTGAAGAACCAGTGGCATCTACATCTGTAGAACGTGAAGAACCAGTGGCATCTACATCTACAGAACGTGAAGAACCAGTGGCATCTACATCTAAAGAACGTGAAGAACCAGTGGCATCTACGTCTACAGAACGTGAAGAACCAGTGGCATCTTCATCTACATAACGTGAAGAACCAGTGGCATATACATCTGCAGAACGTGAAAAACCAGTGGCATCTACATCTACAGAACGTAAAGAACCAGTGGCATCTACATCTGTAGAACGTGAAGAACCAGTGGCATCTAAAGAACGTGAAGAACCAGTGGCATCTACATCTGCAGAACGTGAAGAACCAGTGGCATCTCCATCTGCAGAACGTGAAGAACCAGTGGCATCTACATCTGTAGAACGTGAAGAACCAGTGGCATCTACATCTGTAGAGCGTGAAGAACCAGTGGCATCTACATCTACAGAACGTGAAGAACCAGTGGCATCTACATGTGTAGAACGTGAAGAACCAGTGGCATCTACATCTGCAGAACATGAAGAACCAGTGGCATCTGAATCTACAGAACGTGAAGAACCAGTGGCATCTACATCTGTAGAACGTGAAGAACCAGTGGCATCTACATCTACAGAACGTGAAGAACCAGTGGCATCTACATCTACAGAACGTGAAGAACCAGTGGCATCTACATCTACAGAACGTGAAGAACCAGTGGCATCTACATCTGCAGAACGTGAAGAACCAGTGGCATCTACATCTACAGAACGTGACGAACCAGTGGCATCTACATCTGCAGAACGTGAAGAACCAGTGGCATCTACATCTGCAGAACGTGAAGAACCAGTGGCATCTATATCTAGTGCACACGCAGGGAGCAAAGTTTGGACTTACGAACACACCGACTTGCGTACACAACCATCCGCGTTCGTAAGTCGGGGACAGCAGAAAGGTGTAAATAAATAAATAATACGGCCCCATTCTCTATCCGCTGCGAACGTTCTGGACGGTTGACGTCATCGCCCCCCCCCCAACACCCCGCGGGGCCCCGCCCCTCCGTGACGTCACCGCGCAGGGCGTGGTCCCCTAATATAAAAGGAAATTTCGCGCCGCTCGTTTTAATCGCGAAGCTGTTACCGCATTGTAACAAGTGGCGGGACCGGCTTTGTATCTCTCTCGTCTTTGTTTCTCCTCATTCTCCCCGGCCGCCTTTGTCTCTCCAAAGCCATGTCCGCACAGCACCAATGCCTCATGCCGTTGGAAGCGAATCCGGAGGTGAGAGACAGAGAGAGAGAAATGAGTGTTGTTGGTGTGGTGGTGGTCGGGCTTGTTGTCATTGTTGCATCAGTGACAATGCAATTAATTACCGATCGTTTGTCTGTAATCGCATTAAATTTTAAGCTCTCGTCGGTTCGAGTTAAAATTTAGATGTCAACTGCTGTAACGATGTTCCAAATCTGTGGCGCTAAAATTTCGATATTTTTTTTTTACCTCAGGAACCTTAATTGTAATGCTATTATGCATCATATTGTCATTAATTGCATTAAGAATTATTTGAGCGGAGTTCAGACGTAAACTACTGTAACAATGTACATTTATTATATCGTGATGTGGCGCTAAAATTGAGATATTTTTACCTCAGAAACCTTAATTGCAATGTTACAATGTGGTCTATTGCGTTAATTGCATTTAAGAATAATTTCAGCGGAGTTAAAATAAGGCGTAAACTACTGTAACAATGTTAAATCTTTATATCGTGATAAAGTGGCGTTAAAGTTGTGATGTTTTTTACCTCAGAAACCTTAATTGTAATGTTTATGCGTCATTGTCATGAATTGCATTAAAACTCACTTCAGCCGAGTTAAAATAGGGTGTAAACTATTGTAACAATATTCTTGGTTCTTTCGGTAAAGTCACGTAGAAGGGAAACAATAAAATTATAAAAAAATATAAAACAATAAAATTCTCACGAAAGCTTTAAATCAAAAATTATTGTAACAATGTTGAATCTTTATACTGCAATCTGCCGATAAAATTGCGATATTTTCTGTTTATCTCAACCTAAATTGCAATGTTTATAATGTCATTAATTGCGTCAAAACTAGTTACTAATCCGCGTTAACTTAAGATAAACTACTATAACGATGTTAATCTTTCATACCGTGATAATGTTGCGATACAAATGCAATATTGCTTAAATGCGTTACATTGTCATGTTAATTGCATCAAAACTCGCCTCCCAATAAGTTGAAACAATTATAACTGCAACGCTTTAGACCGTAACAATGATCATTTTTGTGCAAATGTTAAATCTGAAGACGTTGCGTTACGTAATACTTTACAATCCATAACTGGTTATGTTAATTATGTGTTATTATATAGAATTACATTACAGTGTAAACGGGGGTGGGGCTAATGACAATGTTATAAAGTAATAATTACGAACATGTCATTATATAAATAAGGTAATAATTAGAGCTACTAATGTTATATGCCATATAAATAAGGTAATAATTAGAATTACTAATATATGCCATATACATAAGGTAATAATTAGAATTACTAATGTTATATGCCATATAAATAAGGTAATAATTAGAGTTACTGATGTTATATGCCATATAAATAAAGTAATAATTAGAATTACTAATGTTATAAGCCATATAAATAAGGTAATAATTAGAATGACTAATGTTATATGCCATATAAATATTCATAAGCTCATAAGAATTACTAATGTTGAATGTCATATAAATAAGGTTAAAATGTTTCAATGTTCCATGACATATAAATAAAATAATTACTAATGTCACATGCCATTATATAAATAAGCTAATAATGTATTGTTTATAAAAGGAGGTTTTAAAAGTTGTAATAACATTTTGTTAAAAATTATTTGAATGGAGGGGAGAATTGGTAGCTCGGATAGGCGAGCAATGCCCCGGTCAGAGTGGAATTGGTAGAGCGGATAAGGGCTTTGCAGTTTGATTTTCCCCGCCTAACTAATTGTTTGTGTGTGTGTGTACGTGTGTGTACAGGTGGTGAATCAGGTGAGTGGTCAGTACAGGTAACCTGGTGGGCGTGGTCAGTGCGGGTAACCTGGTGGGCGTGGTCTGCGGGTAACCTGGTGGGCGTGGTCAGTGCGGGTAACCTGGTGGGCGTGGTCAGTGCGGGTAACCTGGTGGGCGTGGTCAGTGCGGGTGACCTGGTGGGCGTGGTCAGTGCGGGTGACCTGGTAGGCGTGGTCAGTGCGGGTGACCTTGGTGGGCGTGGTCAGTGCGGGTAAGCTGGTGGGCGTGGTCAGTGCGGGTAACCTGGTGGGCGTGGTCAGTGCGGGTAACCTGGTGGACGTGATCAGTGCGGGTGACCTGGTGGGCGTGGTCAGTGCGGGTGACCTGGTGGGCGTGGTCAGTGCGGGTGACCTGGTGGGCGTGGTCAGTGCGGGTGACCTGGTGGGCGTGGTCAGTGCGGGTGACCTTGGTGGGCGTGATCAGTGCGGGTGACCTGGTGGGCGTGGTCAGTGCGGGTGACCTTGGTGGGCGTGGTCAGTGCGGGTAAGCTGGTGGGCGTGGTCAGTGCGGGTGACCTGGTGGGCGTGGTCAGTGCGGGTGACCTTGGTGGGCGTGGTCAGTGCGGGTGACCTGGTGGGCGTGGTCAGTGCGGGTAACCTGGTGGGCGTGGTCATTGCGGGTAACCTGGTGGGCGTGGTCATTGCTGTTAACCTTAGTGGTTGCGGTTATCACTGATAACGGAGGGGGGTGGTTATCACTGATAACGGAGGGGGATGGTTATCACTGATAACGGAGGGGGGGGGTGGTTATCACTGATAACGGAGGGGGGTGGTTATCCCTGATAACGGAGGGGGGTGGTTATCACTGATAACGGGGGGATGGTTATCACTGATAACGGGGGGATGGTTATCACTGATAACGGAGGGGGGTGGTTATCACTGATAACGGAGGGGGGTGGTTATCACTGATAACGGAGGGGGGTGGTTATCACTGATAACGGAGGGGGGTGGTTATCACTGATAACGGAGGGGGGTGGTTATCACTGATAACGGAGGGGGGTGGTTATCACTGATAACGAGGGGGGTGGTTATCACTGATAACGGGGGTGGGGTGGTTATCACTGATAACGGGGGTGGGGTGGTTATCACTGATAACGGAGGGGGATGGTTATCACTGATAACGGGGGGGGGGGGGTGGTTATCACTGATAACGGAGGGGGATGGTTATCACTGATAACGGGGGTGGGGTGGTTATCACTGATAACGGAGGGGGGTGGTTATCACTGATAACGGAGGGGGGTGGTTATCACTGATAACGGGGGTGGGGTGGTTATCACTGATAACGGGGGTGGGGTGGTTATCACTGATAACGGAGGGGGGGGTGGTTATCACTGGGGGGGTGGTTATCACTGATAACGGAGGGGGATGGTAATCACTGATAACGGAGGGGGATGGTAATCACTGATAACGGAGGGGGGGTGGTTATCACTGATAACGGAGGGGGATGGTAATCACTGATAACGGAGGGGGGGTGGTTATCACTGATAACGGAGGGGGGTGGTTATCACTGATAACGGGGGGTGGGGTGGTTATCACTGATAACGGGGGGGGGGGGGTGGTTATCACTGATAACGGAGGGGGGTGGTTATCACTGATAACGGAGGGGGGTGGTTATCACTGATAACGGGGGTGGGGTGGTTATCACTGATAACGGAGGGGGATGGTTATCACTGATAACGGAGGGGGGTGGTTATCACTGATAACGGAGGGGGGGGGTTATCACTGATAACGGGGGGTGGGTGGTTATCACTGATAACGGAGGGGGGTGGTTATCACTGATAACGGAGGGGGGTGGTTATCACTGATAACGGAGGGGGATGGTTATCACTGATAACGGAGGGGGGGTGGTTATCACTGATAACGGAGGGGGATGGTTATCACTTATAACGGGGGGTGGGTGGTTATCACTGATAACGGAGGGGGGGTGGTTATCACTGATAACGGGGGGGGGGGTGGTTATCACTGATAACGGGGGGGGGGTGGTTATCACTGATAACGGGGGGGGGGTGGTTATCACTGATAACGGAGGGGGGTGGTTATCACTGATAACGGAGGGGGGTGGTTATCACTGATAACGGGGGTGGGGTGGTTATCACTGATAACGGAGGGGGATGGTTATCACTGATAACGGAGGGGGGTGGTTATCACTGATAACGGAGGGGGGTGGTTATCACTGATAACGGGGGGTGGGTGGTTATCACTGATAACGGAGGGGGGTGGTTATCACTGATAACGGAGGGGGATGGTTATCACTGATAACGGAGGGGGGGGGTGGTTATCACTGATAACGGAGGGGGATGGTTATCACTTATAACGGGGGGTGGGTGGTTATCACTGATAACGGAGGGGGGGTGGTTATCACTGATAACGGGGGGGGTGGTTATCACTGATAACGGAGGGGGATGGTTATCACTGATAACGGAGGGGGATGGTTATCACTGATAACGGAGGGGGGTGGTTATCACTGATAACGGAGGGGGGTGGTTATCACTGATAACGGGGGTGGTTATCACTGATAACGGAGGGGGGGTGGTTATCACTGATAACGGAGGGGGGGTGGTTATCACTGATAACGGAGGGGGGTGGTTATCACTGATAACGGGGGGGGGGTGGTTATCACTGATAACGGGGGTGGGGTATCGCGGAATCGTGGATGTTGATGTTGGGTGGTGGTGGTTCCCATGCCAACGAGAGGGTCTAATGTCGTCCGTGTGTGACCCCCAACCACCCGAACCCCCCCCCCCCCGCTGTCAGCTGCTGACGCTGCTGGGGGTACGGGGCCTGGTGGCGAGGGACCTGCTGGGCCTGGAGGGCGCCAGCCTCGCAGCGATCCCGCGCCCGGCGCACGCCATCGTCCTGCTACTGCCCCGTGCTGCCCACGTAAGTTACCCCCCCCTCGTCCACCTACAGCGCGTGTGTGCGTGTGTGTGTGTGTGTGTCTGTGTGTCTGTGCGTGTGTCTGTGTGTCACTGTGGGGAGCGGTGGTGTAGCCGTTAGCGCGCCACGCTGCGCTACGAACCCGGCGACCCGGTGTTCGATTCCCGCTCACGGCCAACACCGTCAAGTGACGATTATCTGAACCGGTCCCGGTGCCTCCCCTAGGTCGACTCGGCCTCAAATGAGTCACCTGGTGCGGTGTGCAGTAAACATCGCCACTGGGGAGACAAAGGCGGCCGGGCGTGGTGCTGGCCACCCACCACCTCGTGTGCCGTTCCGGCCTTCATAGGCGCTGCTCGCTAACAGCACTTGCCCCTACGGTCTGTTAAGGCTACACGGGGGATCTTTGTTGCGTGTGGGCACAGCCGGGTGCATCTGCCAGTCGGTCATCTCGGTCACGGGACCTGCTGGGTCTGCCAGCGAGAGAGCCTTCGGCACGTGACGTGGTGGCCTCAACGACGTGCACCTGGCCTGGCACGGGCGCCGTGGTGACTTCGCCGTCACTTGGCGGCGAATGGCGCGTGAGTGCGCGTGAGAGAGGGTCTAGTGGGGAGCGGTAGTGTAGTGGTCGGTTCGATTCCCGAACCGACCACTATATAGACTGTACGCGTGTGAGTGTACTGGCAGTTTATGTAGACTGTACGCGTGTGAGTGTACAGTCTCTATAGACTGTACGCGTGTGAGTGTAATTGACAGTCTATATAGACTGTACGCGTGTGAGCGTACTGACAGTCTATATAGACTACGCTTGTGAGTGTGCAGTCTATATAGACTACGCTTGTGAGTGTGCAGTCTATATAGACTACGCTTGTGAGTGTGCAGTCTATATAGACTGTACGCGTGTGAGTGTACAGTCTATATAGACTGTACGCGCGTGAGCGTACTGACAGTCTATATAGACTGTAAGCGTGTGAGTGTACTGTACACTGACACGCATACAGTCTATATAGACTGTATGCGTGTGAGTGTACTGACAGTCTATATAGACTGTACGCGTGTGAGTGTGCTGGGGAGCGGTAGTGTAGTGGTTGGCGCACTGCACCCCGAAAGCCCGGCCACCCGAGTTGGACTCCCGCTCATGGCCCAAGGCAGGTCAGGACGAACACCTGAATCGTCCCTGGTGGCCTCCTCCCCTAGGTCTGCTCGGCCTCAAACGCATACCCCCGCCCCCCGCCAGCAGCGTGTGGGCTACACGGGGGACCTTTGTCTTTGTGCAGGACTCTGGAGAGGGGCAGGGGGGGGCAGCCATCCCCGGTGACGTGTACCATGTGACCCAGCCGGCCCAGACGCTGTGCGGCATTCTGGGTATCGTGCACGCCCTCGCCAACATTCCCCGCGCTGCACTCCGATTGGGTAATGCCGCGTCACGTGACCTGGGTTGTTGATGGTGATGGTGATGATGATGTTGTTGATGGTGATGATGATGATGTTGTTGTTGTTGGTGGTGGTGGTGGCGTACGTATGTTGAACTTCTTTTGCACCATAGAAATAGGTTTTACCCTTTTAACTGGCACAAAAACTGACACCTTTATTCAAGGCATCATGTTTGCAATGACCACAACACAAGCAGTCAAAATGCAAACAAAAAAGACAACTCTGATAATAATATGCACTGTCCTTGAATTTGATTGGTCCACACCCGAGACAGCTTTTCTTAGAGCCTAGTCTCCATTGGTGTTGGACCAGAAGACGCCAAAAGGCGTACAACTCAAAAACAGCGCACTATCAGAGTTATTGAGGGCTCGGGGTGAGCCATTAACATTATGAGACCTCCTTTGCCAGAAACAAGATATAGAAATAGGTTTTACCCTTTTAACTGGCACAAAAACTGACACCTTTATTCAAGGCATCACCGTACGTAGCAAGACGTGGCTCCATCGTCGTGTTGCAAATTTATAGCGGGATCCAAATGCTGTGAACGGGTGACGCTGATTCTAAATGTGGAGGGGAAAAGCCGGGGGACCCCGAGGAAAATCCACGTGACCACGGGGATAGAGGGAGAGAGAGAGAGAGACTCAGACTCCTAAATGTACAGCAGCAGGCATCGACAGGGTCGGGATCGAACACATTATCTCTTGTATACAAGGCGAGGTGGTTAACATCTCCTAGCCACCGTGATAATGATGATGAGAGAGAGACTCGGACTCCAAATGTAGGCATCGACAGGGTCGGGATCGAACACATTATCTCTTGTATACCAGGCGAGGTAGTCAACATCTCTCAGGGTCTGGGATCGAACCAACGACCTCCCGCGTACCAGGCGAGGTAGTCAACATCTCCTAGTCACCGTGATGATGTTGAGAAATACGCGGACTCCAAATATACAGCAGGCGTCGGGGTCGGGATCGAACCCACGACCTCCTGCGTACCAGGCGAGAGGTAGTCAACATCTCTCAGTGTCTGGGATTGAACCCTATGACCTCCTGCGTACCAGGCGAGGTAGTCAACATCTCTGTGTCTGGAATCGAACCAACGACCTCCCGCGTACCAGGCGAGGTAGTCAACATCTCTCAGGGTCTGGGAGTGAACCCACGACCTGCGTACCAGGCGAGAGGTAGTCAACATCTCTCAGTGTCTGGGATTGAACCTACGACCTGCGTACCAGGCGAGGTAGTCAACATCTCTCAGGGTCTGGGATCGAACCAACGACCTCCTGCGTACCAGGCGAGGTAGTCAACATCTCTCAGGGTCTGGGATCGAATCAACGACCTCCTGCGTACCAGGCGAGGTAGTCAACATCTCTCAGGGTCTGGGATCGAACCAACGACCTCCTGCGTACCAGGCGAGGTAGTCAACATCTCTCAGGGTCTGGGATCGAACCAACGACCTCCTGCGTACCTGGCGAGGTAGTCAACATCTCTCAGGGTCTGGGATCGAACCAACGACCTTCTGCGTACCAGGCGAGGTAGTCAACATCTCTCAGGGTCTGGGATCGAACCAACGACCTCCTGCGTACCAGGCGAGGTAGTCAACATCTCTCAGGGTCTGGGATCGAACCAACGACCTCCCGCGTACCAGGCGAGGTAGTCAACATCTCTCAGTGTCGGTGATTGAACCCACGACCTCCTGTGTACCAGGCGAGGTAGTCAACATCTCTCAGGGTCTGGGATCGAACCCACGACCTCCTGCATACCAGGCGAGGTAGTCAACATCTCTCAGTGTCTGGGATTGAACCTACGACCTGCGTACCAGGCGAGGTAGTCAACATCTCTCAGTGTCTGGGATTGAACCTACGACCTCCTGCGTACCAGGCGAGGTAGTCAACATCTCTCAGGGTCTGCGATTGAACCTACGACCTCCTGTGTACCGGGCGAGGTAGTCAACATCTCCGAGCCATTGTTGCGCTCACCGAAGGTGGTGGGCAAGGACCACAGCAAACTAAACACAAAAAAGCAGTTCCGAAAGAATGAGTTTTCGTAGATTTTTAAAAAGCGCTGATGATGCAGGTGACGGGCGCCGTTGTTGACGGCGTGGGGAGTGGCGGCGCGGCGGCGAGCGCTCGCAAGCACGGCAGAGGCCAAAGTTAAATTCCCTCTCGCGGCCGCGGCCACCGCATGCCCGGCTACCGCGTGCCCAGCCACTGCGTGCCCAGCCACCGCATGCCCGGCCACCGCGTGCCCGGCCACCGCGTGCCCAGCCACCGCGTGCCCAGCCACCGCGTGCCCGGCCACCGCATGCCCGGCCACCGCGTGCCTAAACAGCTTTTGTTCGGCCGGATCGAGGGGGCTAAACGGGCGCGGCACGGGGCTAGAGAAGAGATGGAGTGACGTGTGAGTGAGTGTGTGGGTGGGTGAGTGTGTGGGTGAGTGGGTGAGTGGGTGGGTGAGTGAGTGTGTGGGTGAGTGTGTGGCTGAGTGAGTGTGTGGGTGGGTGGGTGAGTGAGTGAGTGTGTGGGTGAGTGAGTGAGTGACACGGGCTAGAGAAGAGACGGAGTGACGTGGTGCGGGAGGACGTGGAGCTGAGTGGACTTGCCGATGACTGGTACCAGCGGTGTCAAGATCGGCCTCTGTGGAGGAGGCTCGTGAAGGACGCTGCTGGGCAGTTGGAGGCAGTCGCCCTCCAACAACAACGGAGGGCGGATGAGCGACGCTCACAACATCGAGCGGAGCGCCGGGTGGCTAAAGCGCAGCGGGTTGGCACAGTAGGGGGCACAGGTGGTGCATCAGCCAGTCATCTCAGTCAGTCGACCCGTGGACCTGCTGGGTCTGCCCCGTGGCCTGCCAGCGGGCGTTCGACACTTCACGTGGCCTCAAGGTGCACCTGGCCTGGCACAAGCGTCGTGGTGACGTCACCGCCACTTAGTGGCGAATGGCGGTTGTTGTAGTAAAACATCGCCACTGGGGAGACAAAGGCGGCCGGGCGTGTTGCTGGCCACCCACTGCCCCTGTGTGCCGTGCCGGCCTTCATCCTCTCTGCTGTTAGTCGCTAACAGCGCTTTCCCCAACGGTGGTGGTGGTGGCGGCGGTGGTGGTGGTGGTGGTGGCGGTGATGGTGGTGGTGGCGGTGATGGTGGTGGTGGTGGTGGTGGCGGTGGTGGTGGTGGTGGTGATGTTGACGATGTTGGTGATGGTGGTGATGTTGACGATGTTGGTGACAGTGTTGATGGTGGTGGTATTTGATATCTGCCGATCAGTCAATCCGATGGCACCTGGGTCTGTCCCGTGGCCTCCTGCCAGCGGTGGGGTCTTGGACACTCGACGTGGCCTTAAAGTGCACCTAGCCTGGCACAAGTACCCTGGTGACATGATTGGCGGTTGTTGTGGATTGTGGTGATGGTGGTGATGGTGGTGGTGATGGCTACAGACAGTGACTCCCCATTCAAGAAATTCCTGGAGGAGACGAAGTCTCTGAGCCCCGCGGAACGAGGAGAACGCCTGCATAGTGACACGGTAATCACAACCACCAACATCAACCATCACCACCACCCACATCAACCATCATCACCATCCACATCACCACCACTAACATCACCACCACCACCCACACACCACCACCACCCACATCACCACCACCACCACCCACATCATCACCACCATCACCACCACCACCCACATCACCACCATCACCACCATCCACATGAACCATCACCACCACCCACATCAACCATCATCACCATCCACATGAACCATCACCACCACCCACATCAACCATCATCACCATCCACATCAACCATCATCACCATCCACATCAACCATCATCACCATCCACATCAACCATCATCATCACCACCACCCACATTACCACCACCCACACACCACCACCACCCACATGAACCATCACCACCACCACCCACATCAACCATCATCACCACCCACATCAACCATCATCACCATCCACATCAACCATCATCACCATCCACATCAACCATCATCACCATCCACATCAACCATCATCATCACCACCACCCACATTACCACCATCACACCACCCACATCAACCCACAACCACCCACATCAACCATCATCACCACCACCACCCACATTACCACCACCCACATCACAACCACTCACATCAACCATCATCACCATCACCCACATCACCACCACCCACATCAACCATCATCACAACCATCAGCCATCATCACCACCACCCACATTACCACCACCCACATCAACCATCATCACAACCACCACCCACATCACCACCACCCACATCACCACCACCCACATCACCACCACCCACATCACCACCACCCACATCAACCATCATCACCACCCACATCAACCACACCATCACCACCTACACCAATCACACCACCACCCACATGAACCATCATCACCACCACCCACATCAACCATCACCATCACCCACATCAACAGCCACATCAACATCACCACCCACATTAACATCACCACCATCACCCACGTCAACAAGCACGTCAACATCACCACCATCACCCACATCAACAACCACATCACCATATGTTTGGATGTTAGTGTCTGTGTACGTGCGTGCATATAGGCGTGTGTAGGCGTGTGTGTGCATGTGTGTGTCTGCGTGGCGAGTGTCTGTGTGCACGTGCACCTAGCCTGGCACAAGCTCAGTGATGACGTCGCCGCCACTTATTGGCGAATGCCGTATATTGTATATCTCTTATCTGCTCGTGTGTATGTCTGTATCTATGCGCGTGTGTGTGTGTCTGTCTGTGTGTGCCTGTCTGTGTGTGCGTGTTGGTCTGTCTGTGCGTGTGTGTTGGTCTGTCTGTGTGTCTGTCTGTCTGTGCGTGTCTGTGTGTGTGTTGGTCTGTCTGTCTTTGCGTGTCTGTCTGTCTGTGTGTGTTGGTCTGTCTGTGTGTGTCTGTTGGTCTGTCTGTGTGTCTGTGTGTGTGTTCTGTGTGTGTGTACGTGTGTGTGTTCTGTGTGTGTGTGTTCTGTGTGTGTGTGTACGTGTTGGTCTGTCTGTGTGTTGGTCTGTCTGTCTGTGGTCTGTGTGTTCTGTGTGTGTGTTCTGTCTGTCTGTGTGTACTGTGTGTTCTGTGTGTGTGTCTGTGTGTGTGTACTGTGTGTGTGTGTACTGTGTGTGTGTGTCTGTGTATGTGTGTGTGTGTGTTCTGTGTGTGTGTGTGTACGTGTGTGTGTGTGTCTGTGTGTGTGTACGTGTGTGTGTGTGTTCTGTGTGTGTGTGTACGTGTGTGTGTGTGTTCTGTGTGTGTACTGTGTGTGTGTGTGTACGTGTCTGTGTGTGTACTGTGTGTGTGTGTGTACGTGTGTGTGGTCTGTGTGTGTGTGTACGTGTGCAGGCCATTTCTAAGGCGCACTTGGCTTGTGCTAATCAAGGCCAGTCCCAGGTAGGGATCAAACCTCCACCCCGTGTGTACGTTACACAAACATCGTAAAGGTCCCCCGTATAGCCTCTTAATGCCCGGGGCAAGTGCTGTTAGTGGCGAGTGGGGCATTGTGAAGGCTGCCGGCACTGAGGCGCACGAGGGGGTCTGTGGCCAGCACCACGCCCGGCCGCCTTTGTCTCCCCAGTGGCGATGATACCGCTGCGCCAGGGTACTCGTTTAAGGCTGAGTGGACTTAGGGGCAAGCCCTTTAAGCGGTTCAGATGATCGTCGCCGGTGTTGGTGGTGACCGTGAGCGGGAATCGGATCCGGGTCGCCGGGTTCGTAGCGCAGCGTAGCGCTCAGCGCTACAACACTGACACACACACAGATACACACACTGACACACACACTGACACACACACTGACACACACACTGACACGCACACTGACACGCACACTGACACTCACACTGACACTCACACTGACACACACGCACGCTGACACACACGCACGCTGACACACACGCACGCTGACACGCACGCTGACACGCACGCTGACACGCACGCTGACACGTACGCTGACACGCACTGACACACGCACACTGACACACGCACACTGACACACGCACACTGACACACGCACACTGACACACGCACACTGACACACGCACTGACACACACACTGACACACACTGACACGCACACTGACACGCACACTGACACGCACACCGACACGCACACTGACACGCACACTGACACACACGCACACTGACACGCACACTGACACACACACACACTGACACACACACTGACACACACACACACTGACACACACACTGACACACACACTGACACGCACACTGACACACTGACACGCACACTGACACGCACACTGACACGCACACTGACACGCACACTGACACTCACGCTGACACGCACGCTGACACTCACGCTGACACTCACGCTGACACGCACGCTGACACGCACGCTGACACGCACTGACACACACGGACTGACACACGGACTGACACACACACTGACTGACACACGCACACTGACACACGCACACTGACACACGCACACTGACACACGCACACTGACACACGCACACTGACACACGCACACTGACACACGCACACTGACACACGCACACTGACACACGCACACTGACACACGCACACTGACACACACACACTGACACACACACACTGACACACACACACTGACACACACACACTGACACACACACACTGACACACACACACACTGACACACACACACACTGACACACACACACACTGACACACACACACACTGACACACACACTGACTGACACACACACACTGACACACACTGACTGACACACACTGACTGACACACACACTGACACGCACGCAGTTGAGAACCACTAGAGAGACGAGGTCTCTTATGACCTGGAGACCGAGTGACCATGAATGGCCCAGTGACCATGAATGGCCCAGTGACCCTGGCTGACCCTGTGACCCTGTGACCCCTAGGTGCCAGGCGAGCCGTCCAGTGTTGATCTCCATTACGTGGCGCTGGTGTGCGTGGGAGACGGGCTGTACGAACTCGGTGAGGGAGAGGGGGTGACCTACATCATCACCGCCATCGTCACCGCCATCGTCACCACCATCGCTGCAACATCGTCACCACCATCGTCATCGCCATCGTCCCTCCCCGCCATCGTCCCCGCCATCCTCACCGCCATCCTCACCGCCATCCTCACCGCCATCCTCACCGCCATCGTCACCGCCATCGTCACCGCCATCGCTGCAACATCCTCACCGCCATCGTCACCACCATCGTCACCGCCATCGCTGCAACATCATCACCACCATCGCTGCAACATCATCGCTGCAACATCATCACCGCCATCTTCCCCGCCATCGTCACCAGCCGCCATTGTCGCCGCCATCGTCGCCGCAACATCACCACCATCGCTGCAACATCATCCCCACCATCATCACCGCCATCGTCACCAACCACCTGCGTCGCCATCGCCACCACCAATATCGTCACCACCATCGCTACAACATCATCACCACCATCGATCGTCACTACAACATCACCACCACCACCATCGTCACCACCATCATCGTTACAACATCATCACCACCATCGTCGTCACTACCATCGTCACTAGCATTGTTGCTACAACATCGTCACCACCATCGTCACCACCATCATCGCTACAACATCATCACCATCGTTACCACCATCGTCACTAGCATTGTTGCTACAACATCATCACCACCATCATCACCACCATCGTCACTAGCATTGTTGCTACAACATCGTCACCACCATCATCACTAGCATTGTGCTACAACATCGTCACCACCATTGTCACCACCATCGTCACTAGCAATGTTGCTACAACATCGTCACCACCATCGTTACAACATCATCACCACCATCATCACCACCATCGTCACTAGCATTGTGCTACAACATCGTCACCACCATTGTCACCACCATCGTCACTAGCAATGTTGCTACAACATCGTCACCACCATCGTTACAACATCATCACCACCATCATCACCACCATCGTCACTAGCATTGTGCTACAACATCGTCACCACCATTGTCACCACCATCGTCACTAGCAATGTTGCTACAACATCGTCACCACCATCGTTACAACATCATCACCACCATCATCACCACCATCGTCACTAGCATTGTGCTACAACATCGTCACCACCATTGTCACCACCATCGTCACTAGCAATGTTGCTACAACATCGTCACCACCATCGTTACAACATCATCACCACCATCGTCACTAGCATTGTGCTACAACATCATCACCACCATCGTCACTAGCATTGTGCTACAACATCGTCACCACCATCCTCACCACCATCGTCACTAGCATTGTGCTACAACATCATCACCACCATCGTCACCACCATCGTCACTAGCATTGTTGCTACAACATCGTCACCACCATCGTCACTAGCATTGTGCTACAACATCGTCACCACCATCGTCACTAGCATTGTCCTACAACATCGTCACCACCATCGTGTGTAGCAGTGCGTAGCGTACAGTGCAGCGTGTAGCGTACAGTGTAGTGTATATAGCATCTGAAAGTGCACGGTGACCATCTTCGTTCGATGGCTAGAATGCCGACGTTGACGTTGTTGTTGTTGACGTTGTTGTTGTTGACGTTGTTGTTGACGTTGTTGACGTTGTTGTTTGTAGATGGATGGAAGGCGGCCCCAGTGCACCACGGTCCTTCCAGCGCAGCCTCGGTTCTGGAGGTGAGGTGGAGACGCGGGGGAGATCCTCCTCCCTCCCCTCGTGTCTCACGAGATGTTGACCACTTCGCCTGCTGTGCAGGACGCCTGCTGCTGCTGCTGTATATTTGGAGTCTGCATCTCTCTCTCACTATCATTGTCATGGTGGCTAGGAGATGTTAACGACCTCGCCTGGTACACAGGAGGTCCTGGGTTCAATCCCAGACCCTGAGAGATGTTGACTACCTCGCCTGGTATACAGGAGGTCGTGGGTTCAATCCCAGACATTGAGAGATGTTGACTACCTCGCCTGCTATACAGGAGGTCGTGGGTTCAATCCCAGACATTGAGAGATGTTGACCACCTCGCCTGGTACACAGGAGGTCGTGGGTTCAATCCCAGACCCTGAGAGATGACTACCTCGCCTGGTACACAGGAGGTCGTGGGTTCAATCCCAGACCCTGAGAGATGTTGACCACCTCGCCTGGTACACAGGAGGTCGTGGGTTCAATCCCAGACCCTGAGAGATGTTGACTACCTCGCCTGGTACACAGGAGGTCGCGGGTTCAATCCCAGACCCTGAGAGATGTTGACCACCTCGCTTGGTGTACAGGAGGTCGTGGGTTCAATCCCAGACACTGAGATATGTTGACTACCTCGCCTGGTACACAGAAGGTCGCGGGTTCAATCCCAGACCCTGAGAGATGTTGACTACCTCGTCTGGTATACAGGAGGTCGTGGGTTCAATCCCAGACCCTGAGAGATGTTGACTACCTCGCCTGGTACACATGAGGTCGTGGGTTCAATCCCAGACACTGAGAGATGTTGACTACCTCGCCAGGTGCACAGGAGGTCGTGGGTTCAATCCCAGACCCTGAGAGATGTTGACTACCTTTCGTGGTACACAGGAGGTCATGGGTTCAATCCCAGACACTGAGAGATGTTGACTACCTCGCCTGCTATACAGGAGGTCGTGGGTTCAATCCCAGACACTGAGAGATGTTGACTACCTCGCCTGGTACACAGGAGGTCGTGGGTTCGATTCCGACCCTGACCGACGCATCTCTACATCTCTGGCTTTCTCCCCGTGGCGGTCGCTGCGTGGATTTTTGGCCGGGTCCTCCGCGCTTATCCCCCCTCCACCTTTTAATAATCGACGTCGCCACGCTTTCAACGTACAGCGCAGTTGGGCCTTGCCTGCTAAAATAAATTAGTTTTCTAGTTTGGTTTTTATACTCCCCGTGTCTCGCTGTGTCACCATTTGTCTCTTTGTCACCATTTGTCTCTGCATCTCCCCGTATCTCGCTGTCCCCCGTGTCTCGCTGTCCCCCGTGTCTCGCTGTCCCCCGTGTCTCGCTGTCCCCCGTGTCTCGCTGTCCCCCGTGTGTCCCTGTGTCTCCGTGTGTCCCTGTGTCTCCGTGTCTCGCTGTCCCCCGTGTCTCGCTGTCTCCGCTCGTGTCTCGCTGTGTCCCCCGTGTCTCGCTGTCCCCCGTGTCTCGCTGTCTCCGCTCGTGTCTCGCTGTCCCCGTGTCTCGCTGTCTCCGTTCGTGTCTCGCTGTGTCCCCCGTGTCTCGCTGTCCCCCGTGTCTCGCTGTCTCCGCTCGTGTCTCGCTGTCCCGTGTCTCGCTGTCTCCGCCCGTGTCTTCACTGTCCCCGCGTCTCCCCGTGTGTCCCCGTGTCTCGCTGTCCCCCGTGTCTCTCCGTGTTTCCCCGTGTCTCCGCTCGTGTCTTCACTGTCCCCGCGTCTCCCCGTGTGTCCCCGTGTCTCAGGACGCCGCCCGCGTCTGCCGCTCCCTCGTCTCCCGCGCCCCCGGTGACCTCCGCTTCTCTGCCCTCGTGCTGTGCGAGGAGACCGCCGCCTGAACACCCGGAGACCGGAACCCGGAATCCGGAACCCGGTACCCGGAGCCCGGAGTCCCCCACAACTCTGGCTTCCCCAACCTCTTAAGAGTCGCAGGATTGCACTATGTAACACAGTTTATTTTTCCTCGGTGGGAAGTGTTGCCTCCCTCGTTGCTTACGCCTAACAAAGTGTGGAACGTGGATATTATTCCCCGCAAAACTTTTGCTTTTGTGACCGCGACGGTGATATTTTTTTTTTATTTAAAAAAATTCAGTTATTTTTCCCAATGGGAAAACGGGCGGAATGTGCGTCTTT